TCTGGCTAGTATATTTCAGGACGAATGGATAAGGATTGAGCCAAAAGCTTGTGTGAGCAAATCCAATATTTGGCATCAGTTACGCGGATTGCAGAATGATTTTACGCGGTTTTGTACTTTAAACGACGGTATGCATTTAGTTCACTTATGTGCCGCTACTAATTATGTATAAATTGCCACTAAGCAAAAATGCATGAGTAAAAAAGGCGAGTGCAGCACCGTCCTCGTGATAGCAGTGAAACTTCTTAAAAAAACACATGTGTGCATCGCAGAGAATGAGACGAATACAGTTGCTTATTATATCTAATGTTGCTACGAAGTTGCTACGTTTTTATCATTTTTCACATTTAATATTTTTTTTTTTTAATTTTTAATTTTTTCTTTGGGTATGAAGGATTGCTCATTCTTTGTCGCTTTATGGCCTTATTCATAAAATAAAGTAGCTTTAAAAAAGGTCTATAAACTGAAAAATGTATGAAAACGTCACTTTGTAAAGCTCTTTAAACCTACTTTATTTTTTATGAATAAAGCCATTATTCTGTATTCGCAAAATTAAATGTTTCAATGGAATTGAATTCAATGTTAATTATTTGAATAAATTGTTTAGATTTAGATAGCGTTTTTAGCAATTTATTTGAGAGAAATAAAACATTTATATTTTTGTTTTGATTTTCGTTGATTTTCCATTTGCTATCCCAAAATAATTGATATCAAATAAAACACCTCCTTGAGGTAAAATTTTCGAGTGACTAAAGCTGAACTAGAAACACAAAATTTATGATACCAATTTCGGGACGAAAATTAAACTAATTTTTAAACTGCCCTAGAAACTGACGGAAAATAGTTTTATTTATTCGGAACGTTGCCAAAATTTCCAATTTTTTATTTTGTGTTTCTAAGGGCCGTTTTCTCATCCAACCTTTAGTTTACCGGCCACTTTATCGTCTCGATATACGAGTTTTCGTTTTCTCATCAGCGCATTAATTTCTCGAATCGATAAACTGTTGCTCACCCGATGCAACCTTTAAAATTTGTACCCAACTTTAAATTTTGGTTTGGTTTTGGTTCATGAGTCAGATATATTAGATATTTCAACCAAGGTTTTGGTTTTTGCTAAGAGTTGCTCTTGCTCATATTTGCTTATATTGCATTGCCAACCTTTGAAATTTTATGACGAATGTAGTGAAGTTTCACTATCGGAAATGTAGTGAAGTTTCACTCTACGGAATAACAAATTTATTTTTACAGGTAAGATAAGACAACGAAAACACTTTAAAGTGAGGAACAATTTATCTGCCCTGTTAGTAAAGGCAACTTTACTGCTTACATTAGAAAACGGCCCTAAGAGTAGACAGAACTTTGCAGCGTTCCGAATTAATAAAACTATTTTCCGTCAGTTTCCAGGGCAGTTATATATGTATGTATATGTATCTAATATCTGCCAGCGTACGGTCATTTACAAACTTGGTAGCGTTTTAACGATCGTAATCACAACACTTGGTCGCGTTTTAACGATCGCAATCACTACACGATGATTATAGGGCTGTGCTGCCAAGAAAGAGGTATCCCATCGAGTAATTTTGTACTACTCTAATGTGATGCTAAAGAGCTATTACATATTTACTTACGGTTTGAGAAAATATTGATTAATTCCTTAGCCACACTACGCCAAAAATCTGAAAAAAACCAATTTTACATCCATATAAATTTAAGACCTTACTTAAATAGTCTAACTTCGACCATTTTTATCCAATTTCATTAATCCAGGTATTAGTTTCTTCTACATAAATGCTAGAAGGAAAATGGGGGGGGTTTAAACTTTATCCCATGAAAATCTCAAAAATCTAAAAAAAATGCAAGGTTCAAGAATTATAAGAAACCTATTTTCATGATGTACTCGCCTCTTCCTGGAACCTACCCTAAGGTTTTTCCGGTGTATTTCGTGCTTTTTTTTGCCGCACAGTGTAATCAAACTCGAAAGAAGGAGCTGCTTTAATGCAGGTACATAATGATATACCCCCTTTCGGGTTTTTTGTAAAATCCATTTACATATGGCTCATTTCACGGTGACGGGTGTGATATTTCAACTTGCATCTTAAGGCTTAATTCTTAAACTATAATACCAAATTATTTAAAGAGCTTATTTTCTGTTAGGTTTCCGATGTATGCACAATGCCTAGAAATAAAGTTTAAAAAAATTTTATCCAAACGAGTTATATGAATTTTAGTCACTATGACAAGTACGCTAACAAACTTAGCTTCTGCTTATGATTTTAAATAGTTCAATGTATATTTAGACTAAATGAATATTCTCAACATTTTCGTTGAAGTTGCATACCTATATTTGAAATTATAGATTATATGTTTCAAACTCAACTGTGACCGGTGTGACAAGTTGAGCATGAATAACCAAATACATATTAGAGGTACTCTCCTAATCTTGCAAAGCCGTTGCACGTAGCACGGATTGCACGGATTGCATAACTTGCAAACACACAAAAACAAATTATATGGGAAACGCCCTTTCCTATCGCTGCAAAATATGCAACGTCGAAACCCATGTATATATTTTGCAAAAAAGCATAGCAAAATAAATGCGACCCTGTGCTAGTTGTTTTGTTGTTGGAATTGCTACATATTTCTTTCATTCCTCTCATCTCGCTCACTTAATTTTTGTTGCTGTATCTTGTTATTGTATTTGATACAGAATTTCGCTGCTTCCTACTTATGCATGCTACCCACTTTGCAATGGTGTGCTCTCGTACTCTTCCAAATTTGGAATAGAATTTTTGCATTTCGTGCAATCCTTGCATCGTGCAAGACTTCGAGAATACCCCTATTATTAGACTATAAAACTAACTTTATTTCTCAAAAAATCGGATTTTACAAACACACAAAAGATTCTGCCACCTAAAAACGGGATAGTCCTTGCTCGTACTCTTCATCTCCACTGTCTGAGTAGACATCATTTTTAACCGATTTCCAAAAAAGGAGGAGGTCATCAGTTCGTCGGAATATGTTTTTTTTGTATGTATGTTACCGCATAACTTTGGACCACGTCAACCTATTTCCATAATTCTTTCTGCATCGGAAAGGTAGTGTCTCAGAGGTTTAAATCCGATCATTGGATCATTTTTTTATATGAGAATTGAAGTAGGTTTTTTTGCTAAAAATTGTTTGTTTTAAATATAACTACACTTTTCGTGAGGCTGTTACCTGTCAAACCGTATGAGATACTGTTTTAATCCTGACAAGTGAAGTAATGATTTCATTATATTTGTGGTAGCATAGGTGTGATGGGCGTGACCACCATAATCGTAAAAGCATATAAAAACTTAAAAGCAATTCGCAGGTATTCGCCTATGTCACAGCGTTACTTTTGTCAGTTTTTTTTACAGTGTGCAAGATGTGCTTTCCTTCAAAATAAACTATTGTCTGCATCTTGTGACGGCCGTGACACTAAAATCTGCTTTGCTTCAATTTATAATCAATTTTAAACAAAACTAAGCTATCATATGAGTTTGTAAATGGAGCAACCAAAAGTAAAAAAAAATATATCTCATTTTAAGATAAAATTCGGAATTTTGGCTTTCAGTCTTGAAAGTTGGATTTATGTATTTACTCTTAGTTACTAGAAATAATACTCTCCAATTCTGAAGTTTATATTCATGTTAATCGGTATCGATTACCGTGGATTGAGCCATATGTGAGATATATTTTAGATTTAATGTGTATGCATCTGCGCAAATAAAAGTTTGTAAGTAAATAAATACACATACATCTATATGTTTATGAATACTAAAAGTGGCTATTTAAAAATGAATGGATTTGTATTTACTCAAGGATTTAAAAGCACAAAGCATCGAAGCGTTTTATAGTTTGAACGTTTCAAAGTTGTTTACAATCGGTGTTTACCTTGATTGTAGTAGCCATTGTTGTATTGAGAGGAATTATAGACGGGCATGGTCGCGTATTTATTGGACCCGTAGCTGGTTGTTATTGGCTTTCTAAACTGTGTCGAGTACTTGTTGTATGTGTTTATGCGGCGACCTGCGTTCACATACACATATAAATTGGTATGAATGCATGTATACAAGTATGTATGGATGTATGTATGTGCATGGCCGCCATGTTTTTATCGTTTTGCTTTGGCGGCGTAGTTTTGACCGGGAATAAAAAAGTTGTATACTGAACCGGTACAATTAATTGCGAATACCGACTACATGACCTAGATATGAGAAGCACTCGAAGGTTCGTTTAAGTTTTTGTAAAAATTTGATGAAAGGTGGAAAAACTTAATTCTGTATTTTTAAGCATTAAGGCCTATGAAGATTGTTTAAAGAATTGTTTAGTTGAATTTTGAAGTATAGTTTAATAAAGATTTTGCAGTTCATGTATTTGTTAATGAATGAGTGAGTGTCTTTATCTTTTCTAGTGCGGAGTTAATAAATTTTGTAGGCCAATGAAGAAGAGTATGTATTTTGCGAAGCGATTGGTTAAAGCGCATAATTAAATTAAATAACCATTAAATTTCAATTAATGCATTCATACCACTGTGGATCTCATATTAAAATAGTCAAATTTAATTTTTTTTTTATAAAAGTTGTACACTAGTAATTTGCTTTTTGTTTCGAGATAACTTAAGTCTTTGTAAACTCGTTGGCATCTGTATGTATATTATTTCAAGAATGAAAAGCCTACTTAGTACTAGGCACATAATTACTAAGAATCAGGTATTTACATACCTATCTACAATATTTTACGACTACGCATGTTCTTTTCTAGTTGTCCTGAATATCCGAAATAAAATGAGATCAATTTTTACACAGAGAATGTATATTGTCCTACCATACCGCAAGGTCATATGTTTAAATTGATAAAAATTTGGTTGAACTATTTGAGCTAGTGTGATCGCTAAAAAAAAAACTAGATCCATTCCACACCACTTGAATAGTAATCATGGTCATCGTCGTAGTATTGATGATATTTAACATCCTTACCTTGCTGGCCCACGTTATTGCGCGGCAGTGTGGCGTACGGGTTGACTGCAGACCTCTGCGGTGGGTATGCAACCGGGGATTTGGGGGCAGAAGCTGGCGCGCCAGAAGCAGCTCCGAAGGGTCTAGCATAACCCTGATGGACCTAGAAGCAAATAAGTTTACGTTAATTTTAATGGATATAGAAAAATGTATGCTCATGAATATTCTTCGGTGGCACTTAGTTTGAAAACCCAGTTAACACACGTAGATGGTAGTTAGACATAACAACAACAAAACGAACTCGAAAACAATTGTATGCTGTTTCGACAAAGCCTAGGCGTCGTTCAGAGCCGATAAACGCACTTACCTTGTAGTTGATGTTTGTACCCTTACCAGGAGGCACAACACTGCGGATGACGCTGCCCGTCAAGGTAACGTATTCCCCAAATGGCGATTGGTCGAGTTCCGACGGCTGATTAGCCAACATTGCTGAGGTCGCCTCTCTTGCTGTGTCGGGGATGCCTTCAAATTCACTTAACTGTGCACTTTCGCAACGATTACTAATATGACTATGGCAATTGCTATTGACAGCGTTTATGAGTGTAGCACTAGTTATTTCTGTTTTTGGAGTTGAAGACAATAGTGCTGGTGGAGGTAATGTTGAATCTGTTGCCGATTTCGCAACCTGCTGACATGGATTCAATTGATTAGTAAAGTTCGCTGATATGGCTATAACCGAAGGATGCGTGTTTTTTGTCGTTGCACTGGCTGTGTCTATGCCTGGGACTGCGTCTGTGGTTGTGCTTATTAAGCCTGAGGCTATTGAGTCTAAGTTTTTGACTGATTGTGCATGAGAGGTCATTAGTGTCTGAGTTGATGGGTGGTATGGTAAGGCGGTGTTGTTCAAGCGATTTTGAATGTTGTTTGTAACGAGTGACTTGTTCGACTTCTCATAGTGCTTGTGATTACTTTTTGAGGAAATGTCAATGGATAGGGAATTTGTTGAAATGTTATTCTTATTGTTTTGTGTTAGCAACTTGTTGGAATACTCCTTCAAGAATTTGCTATAAACTCCACCTGCTAGGCCACCGCCGATGCCATGCTGATTTTGTGAGTTCATATCGTTTTCGCATGGTTGGCGATGTGGTTGTTGGATCATTTGTACTGGTAGAGATGGAGGTAGCGGCGGTGGGGGTGGTGGTGATGCTATCGGAGTCCTATTGGAGTCTGTGCTTGTGCCACACACTGAAGAAGGTGCCGATGAGGTTTGACGGGAACGCAACGACGAGGCAGAAGTGTATCCACTAGATGTTTCGTCTACCATTGGTGCTGTTGATATCTCTTCTGTCATAGATGGAATGTGACTCGGCTGTGCTGCTGATGTCCTGGACGAGTTATTGGAAGAAGTCGAAAGCGTTGAATGCCTGCTAATATGCAGTAATTTTTGTTTCGTGTCGGTGGTGTTATCGTCAACAGCGGCACAGTATTGGCTATCGATTTCTAACTGTTGCAGCAAGGAAGGTGATGGTGGTGGTGGCAGTGGCAAGTCAGTGTTATCCTCTTTATTTTCATTTGCGCTTTCGTAAGCTTGTGGCCTCTGCGTATTTCGTGTTTGTTATTTGAAAGCAGAGCCATTGTTAGTCGGTTAGCAAACACACAAAAGCGTGCAAAGAAAAATAAGTATTCAAGGGTAAGTGAAGGCAGGATAGCACAACGCAAAAAAATGAAATGAAATGAAAAAATGAATAAAAATTCTAACAAAAATAAATAAAAAGTAATGATTCGTAGTGCTAAGTAATAAACAGTTCCCGAACGTTAATGTTCATTTTATCCCTTTATTGGTAAACTGCGCCAAACTGGGGAAGTACAATTACCAACTGAAGTCCAACCAGCAGAGCACGCTCAACAACAAAACGTATTCGTCTTTTCGATTAATGTTTACCATATTAGAATAAAAAGTATTTTTTCCTTTCAGTATTAAGATTACTAAACTATCGCAGAACTAGCTCATTAAGAGGCGGTACTGGTTCTCGATCAATGCCAACGCAATGCTTTCAACTGTCTCTTTTTATATGGCGATGTCCTACGAAGTGGAAATTGCCCCCTCTGCAGAACTTTTGAACTAGTTATGAACTGGTTGCATTTTGGCCAGATCTGCGACAATCAGGTTTTTATGAAAATAATTTTCATTTTTATAAGTTTTTTTCGTTTTTTCTGTTCTATTACAGATTGCTTTTTATTTAATTTGTTTATTGTTTTATTTTATTTACATTGAATTTGATCATTTTATCTTACATTTTTAAGCGGCACTCACCCATTTAAATTTACTAAATCTGAAAATCGCAACTGCCTCCATTCGCGATCAACGATGTTAGAGTCGGATGTCTACGATAAGTGAGAATTTGTACATTTACTTCTCAGCTTTCACACACTAAATGTGAGAAACTTTGAGGAGAGCGCAACAAGCATACTGTACTAGTTCGGAACTAGCGGTTTGACAGACTGTCTTTAAATTTTACTGCAGGGTATGTACACTAACATATCGTCGTTTAAAGTACAAAACCGCGTATTGGCATTCTGCAAAACCGCGTAACTGACATTTGCTGCCAAAAATTGGACTTGCTCACTCAAGCTCTTGTTCTTGTAGGTGTGCTCACAGAACAAGACTTCTAACCTATTTCTAGGCACAGTTGTTTTCCCCATATAAAATACATTGAAAACTTTGAGCGCTTTGAGCACTCCTTAAATTTTTCTTTTATTTCAAAATAAAAATAGGGGTATACTTTTTCGGAATAGAACAATCCTAGGGGGTGGCAGCATTAAAAATCCGACCTTCTTTTGTTACATACATTTTTGGACGACTTTAGTATACGTACTCAGATATGGGCATTCAAATACGTGCGTGCTAAATTTTGGTATGAAAGCATTACTTTTAAATGCGAACATTTTTAAACGATAATCAAATAAAAAGTATTAATTTTTACTATGTATTATTTCCCTCAGTGTAGGGAACATAGTTTTCCAATTTACAGAGAAAACAGTTTTTAGCCACTTTTATTAAATTCAACAAGTTTTATTGAGCTTGAGGCCGTTTTTAATGAAAACCTATTGTGGAAAAGCAACAATAATTTTGAAAAAATGGTAGAAGTGACAGCTATTTCGGAAATCACCACATTTCATCATCACACTTCTTTCTGTGGGGCTCAATCCAACGACCCCAGCTGACTCGCTATCACTTCTAGCATTTTTTTTCAAAATTATTGTTGCTTTTCCACAATAGTTTTTGATTAAAAACGGCCTCAAGCTCAATAAGAATTGTAGAATATAATTTTCATAAGGCCATGAAATAACAAAAACATAATTATGAAAATTACCTATAAAAATTGTCCACTTCAAAGCCAGGCAACGTGTCTTTTTGACAACTTTTTCATAGGCAAGCCTATACCACTGCACTCACAATAAAATTACCTTTGATTTGACATACAACTCGACTGGCAAACAGATGGCTGAAAATTTCTAAAAAAAAACGTGCTTTAACACCTATTACCTATTACACCTTTAACCTATTGTGGCCTTTCGATTGGTATACATTTCTTTTGGTAAGCAGAGGGTGCAATTATTGCAAAAAGTGCTTTTATTGTCTTAAATGAATCATAGCCTGGACTGAAATTTTTTAGGCAACTCATGTTCAAAAGTTTTCTTTTCACATGGCGTTCCATAAGAAATATGTTTCATCCGGCAAGCCGATGGGTGCATACCAACAATATGTTCGTATCTTAGACTATTATTGTGAATTTGACTTAAAGAAGTTGCCACATAAAAAAATATTAAAGTTCTAAAAATTATAACAATATGTTTTTGTACATTTTATTCATACCCTATAAAGGTTTTGGCGAACGTTCGAAAATAACCTTCGATTTCCAATATGCATATCGAACTGAGAACGAACTCATAACTAACCTTAGTTTTCCAATGTTCATAGTATATTGGAAATACACTCGAGATGGGTTTGAAAAAAAATTAAAACCAGAGTAACAAGAAAGGGAGTGAAATCCAGCTCTCCGCAAAGGGAAATATAAGATTATCACTCTCTCTCATTCAAATTTCAATTTGATAAAGGCGTGAATTTCGAATTCATAACTAAGGAAAAATACATTGGATAACGAAAGTTCCGTTTTGCGGGAGAATGGCCTAGTTCTCGAATCGAATACTAGGCTATTCCACATCGAAGGTGAGAATCAAAAAAGGATTGGTTTTCTAATCATTGTTGACCAAGCCAAATGCTTATTGCGTAGCTATATAATACATACGGCCGCTGTGGTGTAGTGGTAAGCAGTGCGCGCATTCACTCAACAGCACCTGGGTTCAAGCCCTGGTCAAAGCAACGTCGCAAAAATATAGAAAAAATGTCTTCTTAACGGCGGTCGTCCCTCGGCAGGCAATGACAAACCTCCGAGTGTATTTCTGCCATGAAAAACCAAGAATGATAGAATACAAGATTGCGCCGTTCAGAGAGGATTTTTGAGAATAACTTTTGTGTGACGTCACACTGGTGCAATTGCGAGAGAGAAATGCCAAAACGTGAGCAAGAATGGAAGAAGAAGAAAAAATGTTGCAAGGAAAACGTAAACAAGTTGCACAAGTGTGACGTCATGCAAACAACGATTCTGTCAAATTCGTTAAGAGAGGAATAGCGGTCCGAGATCGGCGCAACCTTTGTATTCTCTCAATCGTGATGAAAAACAGCTTCTCATAAAAATACAATCGCCGTTCAGAGTCGGCGTAAAACTGTAGGTCCCTCCGTTTTGTGTGACAACATCAAGGTACACGCCACAATTCGGAGGAGGAGCTCGGCCAAACACTAACATATGTGTAAGCGCCAATCTAAAAAAAAACTTCTATATTGGCAGTACGTTGAAAGTGCGAAAACGTCGTTCTATTAAGAATGATAGATTACAAGATTGCGCCGATCGAGCTGAGAGCAACCAGGCGTGACGTCAACAAATACCAGAATGAGAGAGCAACTCGACAAGACTACAACTAATAATGTCGCATACGTGTTTTTTATGCAAGAGTGCGAAGTGCGGTGACTCCGTGTTCATCGTACCGAACGACGAATATGTAAAGAAGACATAGAGGCCTCCTTTCTCCCACAAAGGCTCAAGCGGTGGTCGGCTAATTATATGAGTGAGAAAAATAAAACAGGGGTTTCCACAGGGTGGTGTCCTTTCCCCACTACTGTTTAACTTTTACATTTCAGAGCTCCCTCAACCACGAGAGGGATTCTCGATTGTCTCTTACGCCGACGATTGCTCGACCATGGCGTCTGGGAATGGAATTGATGACTTGTGTTCGAAAGTAAACGGGTATCTCTCCGAGCTTTCTAGCTTCTTCACTGCGGGGAGCCTAATCCTCTCTCCCCTACAAAATCCTCTGCGACCTTGTTCACCACCTGGACGAAGGAGGTCAGGCTACCGCTGGGAATTCACGTCGATGATACACCAATTCCGACGGTGAATTACCTCAAAATACTCGGAGTAAACTTCGACAGTCTGCTCTCCTTCTCGGCGCACGCAACCGCTATTGTCAACAAAGTACAGAGCCGCAATAAGGTCCTCAAGTTGCTAGCCGGCAGTACTTGGGGCAAAGACAAAGAAACGTTGCTGGCAACATAGAAGGCAATAGGCCGGCCGGTTTTAAATTACGCAGAACCAGTGTGATCGGCGGGGACTAGTACGACGTGGATGAAGCTGCAGGCTACCCAAAACACCACACTACGGACAGCGACTGGATGCGTCCAGAACACCATCTTCACGACGAGGCGAAAATGCTCCCAGTAAAGGAGCATAATACAATGCTCTGCAAGCAGTCTCTAGTTGAGAGCCATAGACGTGGTCACCAAAATAGAAAACTGATTGCAGAAGAGCCCTTGCCCAGGCACGTCAGGAGGCATCTCTACGAACTGACGAACGAAGTCCAGAGGTTAATTAAACAACCTCTGGACCCGTCACCTTATCGACAGGCCCTGAGCGGCATTCACAAGTTATGTAGACTCCAGACCTGTGAATGCCGTTCTAGGCACACAACCACCGCACATCGACGATACAGAGCTTCATCTGCCTCGGGAGACTAGAACCATAATAGCCCAACGTCGCTCTGGCTTCTGCAGGATGTTAAACTCATACCTGAGCAGATTAGATGCAGATATACCAAATAAGTGTCCGGAATGCGGAGAGACACCCCATGACTCGAAACATCTCTTCGTCGCCCGGAAAACCCGACAACCCTAACGCCTTTGTCCCTGTGGACCGACCCTATTGAGGCTGCACGCTACTTGGGGCTTCCGTTAGTGGAGCTGGACGACAACGACTGAGATATTAACCGATCTGGGCGTAGTTGTTGTAGCCGCTACGACAACAATGAATATGTAAAAAAAAACAGTGGGAGATAGCTTGCCACATGCCTTTGCCACCAACAGCACGTATTTGCGAGAATCATTTTTAATACCTCCGACCTTTCTAGTACGAGCCTAAAGCGTAAGCGATTGCATCCGGAATCAGTTCCGTCACAGAAAATACCAGTGCCCAATCTATCCAA